CGGACGCAGTTCACATGTGTGATTTTGGGTTTATCTGTATTTTGGACACATAATAGAATCACCGTAATTTCTTACTTCTTTTTTTTTTTAATATAGGTACCTATGGCTATTTGATCCATTTAAAACATTTAACTTATTTTTTGGTAAAATATCATTGATACATTTTGAATTATTTACTAAAATTTTCCCGATTTGTTGGAAATCTGAAATATTAAGTGAGAAACGTTTAGTTTTGTTGTGGATTTTGCCGGAAAACATCATACCAAATGCTTGCATTTTACCTACGACTTACGATTGTCTTAACATTTTCAGAAAGTATGTGTCTAATTTAATATATATATATAATATATATAAATATATTTATGTATTGTGATTTGTGATACTATTATTTTGTTATTATTGAAGTTTGTTAATACAAATCTATAAATTAAACAGATTTTATCTTTATATCTTACATCCTTTTTGGTCTTATGCTACATTATTGTATACTATGCGTACAATTCATTATACAACGCATTTTTAGTTTTTAAATTTACGTTAGCCATAAAAAAAAACGCAAAGAATGAACGAAAAACGTTTGCAGGTCTACGTCTACTCATGAATTGAATACTAAGAAATTGCCAAATGTAGTTATATAGTGATGGTATGCATTATGTATAGGTATCGTTTAAGTGAATTATAGTCTCACACCCACTACTATAAAGTTTTAAATTTCACCAAGCGCACTACACTTTTTTTGATAAAATAAATAAATAATTATCTCTTATTATAATACCATTGTCACGATAACACAAACCAAAAAAAACAGAAAACGGATAGGTTATTATTAAACAATTTGTGAAACAAAAACTACTATACGTCTATACATTATTGTCTATTAATTATCAACTAAAATGTGCACAGTTATTGATCAAAAAATGCAATATTTATAATACTATTTTGGTACCCATGCAAATTTGAGGCATCATTAAAATGTGAACATTTTGATTATATAAAATATTCTTGGAAGAATTTGAATTTAATTATCCTATTCAAACGATATACTATACTTGATTTATTACTCGCGATTAATATATACAATAGAGCAAAATTATAAAATATTGTCTTGATTTTTGCTGTCGAAATGAATCGTGATTCGTGAATCGCCTCGTTTAGTTATACAAAAAAGCGACTATAGCACGTCGTGTTTATCATATTACTCAATCCTATCAATTATCATATTACACAGCGTATATCGTGTAAGTTTGATATTTCAACTATGGTATAATTTTGTGAATATTAACATCATAGATTTAGTTTAACGTTATCTACAATATTATAATATAATAATGTTACCACAGTATTACGGCCAAAATAAACGACTAATATGATATTGACTGAGGTATTGTTTTACTATTGATAATATTGGAGATCTATAATAATTATATCCGAATTATTCACCCTAAAAAAAAATAAAATATATAAAATACAACGTATAAAGTTTATTATTTTTATAGCATTCGATAAATATTAATCGTAAAACTTGAGATGTTTTACTATTACTTAAATTATAATTTTTTTTTTTCAAAATATTCAGGTACATTTTAAAGTATTTAAACCACAAACCTAATTTTTACCCCGTTCTACGCGGTATCTATATCTGTATTAACTTTTAAATTGATTATAGTAATAATGTAATATTAAACAAACTACTATTATAACTATTATAATAATATATGTGATATGTTTTAAGCAAAAATTAGTTGAACCTACCGTATTGCTAATAAAAATATAAATTATTAATGACAATATTAATTTAGAATACAATATTTTATAAAATATAAGTTGATAGAGGATTTCTGATTAGAATTTTTTTTGTATATGCAACAATTTATCATTGCATGATTGAAAAATTGGAGATCCTTGAAAACATCATGGATACTTAATTTTTATTCAGTTACATATTTATGTTAGGTGTATTTAAATTTTCAATATAAGAATGTACCCATTGGCCATTACGTTAGGATGTAAAGCCATCTCTCTAATAATACTAATAATAATCTAGTATTAATTTTCATTAATTTTAAATAGTTAATTAAAATTTGAACACATGCTATAAATAATTACACATGAGATTACACTGATATCATAATCATCAAATACGATACTTACCTACCTATGTTATAATGGTAGTTTATAATTTATTATTTTGCCATTATATCACTATAATATTAATATGTGTGCGTGTATGCTAAATATAATATATAGGCTGGGCAGGTAGGCAATATAATATTATGTATGTATATATAAATGTTAAAGACGGACGCATACCTTTATAAGGTACGGTGCTGTAGCAGAAACACGCGCATTTTATAAGGATTACATCCTTTTGATGTTTCACTAAATATCTGCATAATCTCTTTCTCTATTGTTACTTCATTAATGTACTCAAATTTATAGGTTTTCGCAATGTTTACAGTCCAACAATCTCGTGGTACAATGGGACTCGTTATATTATGTGCGCAGCTTCCTATTTTGTACTAAACATAGTTATTTGATCAATTATGTATTTTTTAATAGTTGGTACCACGTTCTTATACGCCATTGACACGGGACTTGATTATGTTTCCTTTGAGTTTTCCAATGAGTTCAAGCGATTAAAATATAATATGTAATTTATTATGTTGTTCCTATAGTATATTTGAACATTGAAACACAATGTACTATAATAATATTCTACTCGTCATATTAGGTCACTCGATGGGTTTGTGCTTTGTTTTTTTGCTACTAACAATATTATTTAGCTAGATAGTATAATAATATTATATAATATGCCTGTCGCCATTCAGCCTATTTATCGTAAAAATTTAAATAATGTTGTAGTAGCTCTGCAGTTCATAACGAGAATTTAATTATCCGTATTTGTAGCATGCTCTACAATATACGTATATATGATGTTACGATAAATTATAAACCAAATGTACATTAATATTATAAGCGATACACATGGGAAAGTAGTTATCTGCAATAATTATAAAAGCAATTAATTTAAGTTACGAATAAAAAAATATAACGGACAATAATATGTGACTTTATTAGGACGTGTATCGTTGTACAGACAGTGAAAAAAATATTATTATGAACAATTGGATGATTCTGAATTCAATTATCATACTTAATAATTTTTTTGTTTTTTTTTATTTATTCAGTTATAAATATCATTACACTATAATATATTATCATGTACATATTTATAATATATATATATTTTTTGATAAAAAATAAGCCCACACTATAATATTATGTTAAATACATAAAAAAAAAAATCCACTAACAAACACAACTAACTAATTATTAATGTGAACTCTTTGTTTTTCATTATTTATTAATGTGTACAATAATAGTAATAATCAACAACTACAATTTATCTAAAACTATAAATATTATTTTTGTTATTCATTATGTATGCAAATATAATTATTGTATTATTTACAAAATAATTTATTGATGTGCGGACGGTTGTTTCGACTAACTCCGCAAATCACATTTTTTTATTATTATTATTATTATACATGTAAAAAATTAAATTATCGGGCTTTTAAATGTTTATGTTAACAAAGTGGTTTTTTTAACAAAAAAATTATTTTATTATCGTTTATGGAAATAATTTCTTTTTAAATAATTTTAAGATATTATAAAACTATATGTTAAAAAAAAAATATTTTTTAAAATTTATTATACCATTAACGGTTTATACGTTTTTACTTTTTTGAATGAAAACTTACTTTTCTGATTGTGAAACAGAATAGTTTTCTGAGAATTTAAAAATTATTTAAAAATTTTATTTTGTAATAGAAGTCATTTAGTTATGGCAATACGTATTTATTGAGGTAACATTAAGAATTTAAAAAATATTAAACATTTTCAGAGGCGCTACTAATTGGCAATTTATTTTCTTCACACCTATATCCCGTGTGGCTATAAGTTTTGTTTTTAAAATTATATCATCAAAATTACTTGTAATGGATTATAAATTTATAAATTAAAAAAAAAAATAAGCGAATAATGTATATAGTGTACAATTTTGTAGTATACCCTTGTGATCAAATTGGAACTAAATATTTTTAAGACATAATTAATATATATTAACTATTGGTTAAAGAATCATTTTGTATGTTTTTAAATTCTAAATAAAATATTTTGCTCTAATACACGATAGTTAAAATTATGAATGCATTGTTCATTCAAAAAAGTAAAAACTTAAAAAAATTAATTTTTTACAAAATTTAGTTTTTAAATGACATAAAATTATGCTAAAACAATATTTCCAAAAACATCAATAAGTATTTTTCAATAAAATCAGTTTTTACTTTCTAAAGAGTGACTTAGAATATTATTATTTATTATATAATATTATATTATATCTAAGTAAGTTTTTATAATATATAAATATATTAATTATAGTACGTTTTACTTCTATGAAAGATGATGTATTAGATACCATTACATTTCATAATTATTTTAATATTATACAACACACGTAAAACTCTAAAATTATTACAATATTTTTTATATATATATACTCGTATTTATATATTTTTTTGTATCTAGACGTCGCCGTCGTAGGTTTTGTACGTAGCAATTTCTCGAGGCGGCTTACAGCGGTAAACGGACCGATCGATCGATTGAAAAATAACTACAAAAATCGGACGGATAATCTTGTACAGACATAATATGTACTGCATGACAACGTATAACGCTCACACTAAACGCATTTATATTATATTCCCGTACCCACTCAAGATAATATACGTAGCTAATAACAAAAATCATTAATAATTATGATGCCAATGTTAAAAAGTTTGTGTAATATTATATTATGTTTAGACCAATTATTTATTATTATTAAAATTATTGAATATTTTATTTGGGTAAAATAGTGTACCTATGTAAAAAAAGTCCGTATTTTTTTTTTTTTTTTTTTTTGTTAAATATATAATAATATTATTATAAATCCATACACGATATACTAATATTATGCGTATAATATAATATACTAAACATAAATATAATATTATCAACTATATTTAGATTAAATCGATAGCCGTTGAACTTAAATGTCGCACAGCTACTTTCAATGATTTCTACGTATATTATATTTCGTTTTAAAACGTCGTTTCATGATGTTAAGTGAACTACTCCGTTTAGTGGGATATATAGCCAGTCAAACGAAAAGCTAGGTACCTATAATAATTTATAGTAATAGTATTATTATCGATAATATACGTATATATACGCGTCGAGAGCAAACAAACCATAAATCCGTTATAATTATTGGACGTAATGGAATATTACCGCTGCATACTCTCTACTTACAATATATTATATAATTACATTATCAAGTGAGTATTCTAGCCTAGGCTTCGAACAACCACGGCAAAAACGTACTTAATAATAATATAAAATATATTATTTGTATGGAAATTAGAAAAATTACTGAAATGACGAGACTTGTCGATTTTATTTTAGTATGGAAATAACAAGACTGACTTACGACCTTTAACTCGCTGGCTATAATTAAACATGAAAAACACGAAAAAAATAAGCATTTCATATTATGCATATTATTATTATAATGTTCGAGTGAAACGTGAAATGTTCGAACAACATTCAACCACTGCGGCGCTATGCTCGGTTCATTACTATATCATCGCTTTATTATTTAATATTTATTATGTAAAAATTATGGTTTAAATATTTAAACTTAACGAATGCGTCTAATTCGCTATATTGTGTTTATGAGTAGTCATGACAAACGAAACTGAACGAAACAAAAAATGCTTAAAAGCAAAACGAGATGATGAAATTATAGGTGTTATCATTGCGAGAAATAAGAAAGAATGAATTATGACGGTATTAACAATAGTAATAATAATAATAATAATTAATAACAACGCGATTTTTTTTTCTTCAAAAATTTTGAATTCTGTTTTCTTTTTGTGTTTATTGTAGCTGCATGGTGACCCACGTGACCAGTCTAGGATGGATCAGACCGCCGATCTCGCAGTTCACCGTCCGGGTCTCGCCATTGATCACAAACAGTGCTTCGTCGGCCGGCGTAACCATGTAGTGACCGAAAATACCGGATGCGGCTATTGGACGGTTGGGGTTGCCCCACTGTGTCAACGATTGGAGCATGGCCTTGCCTACGCCGGTGATCATTTCTACTTTACCTGCAGACCGACAAAAAAAAAAAAAAAAAAAAACGAACGTTAATCCAATAAATCATTATACATGATATATATATATATATTATATAAGATTTGCATGGCGATCGCGGTAAGTATGGTATGCAATTTGTATTATAGACGGACTTGGGTGAATGATTTTCAACGGGGTTTAAGTCTCCTGTTTTAATTTTTTAATGTTAAAATATTATGTGATAATAGCTCGCGTATTATTTTTTCTAATAACATGCATCTAATGAATATTCATTGCTTTTTATTTTTAATTTTCATAAGAAACTTACATAATGCACGCTTAAACTTGCAAATTAATTGTTTAATTTAAATCCGTTTAGAAGTACTAATTTGTATATTTGGGAATAGGATTGTACTTTGTGTAAACTATCCCTAAGTCCGTCAATTAGTATAGTAATGATAGGGATGGCCAGCAAAAAGAATTGCGAGCCGCCCAATATATTAATAAATATGGAAAAGCCAAAATGAAAATAAAAGTTCATATTAATGTATGTATTATTAATTGATTATCGTAAAGAAGATAATTAGATATCAATTGTAATACAATGTATAAAATTCAAAACAATATATGATATCAATTAATAAATAAAAATAAAAATAAATACATATTTAAATATTATATCAAAAACACTATTTTTTTTTTTTTGTAAATTTTTTCTATAAATTAAAATTTGATAAAATATTATACTTCTTCACACTTTAATAATATAAATTCATAAATTCATATTGAAAATAATTTTTTTGTAATAATGTTTGTTTCTTATGACAAGATGTGAGCCATATGAGTTTATGACGGGAGCCGCATGCGGCTCGCGAGCCACAATTTGGTCATCCGTGGTATATAATATGTAGGTACATACATGATAACATACATATTATAAAAAAAAACAAATTGCTCAAAACATGTTAAATAGAAATACTATTTGATCATAACATAATACAATACAAAGCATCATTAGAATTTAAATTATAATAATAAATATTATAACATATTTATTTATTGTTTGGATAATGGTTGATATAATGTCTTTATAAATATTGTGTTTCGTAAATAGAAAAAAGCGAGGTCCGAATAGTTGTACACGCCGCGGATAAGAGTACCTGCCAGGGTTGGTGTCATTAAACAAGAAAGCAGCAATAAATCATGGGCTAAAACCGATTCTAAGCAAAATTTGACCTACCGACCAAACGGTGAAGATTTTATTAAAAGCTGGCGTTCGATCAATATACAGTCGAGACTATCGCGCTACACATTGCAGTAGTATAACCTAGTTGGAATATATATATATATAATTTATAGTTAGATACATATAATAATAATACACTTGATATTTTTTCCCTAGTGATGTAATAAAATATGAAATTATTATTGTTTTTAAACCTCGTAATACCTTTGTAACGACTACATTTTAATAGTTAATATAACTTATAAGTGGATATGTTATTTCATGAATGATAAATTTTTGATAACGATTTTAAATACTGATTTATTTGATTTCAAATCAGCTATTATAAATAATTGTATTAGGTATTCCATACTCAATTTACTTAAATATAAGGCATGGGTTAAAAAAATAAATTAATACGGTTGAATTTCTCGTAAAATACAAGTCCTAAGCCAAACTTTTGTGGCCTAATAATCGTTTAATAAATAATAATACATGAAAATCTACCACTTTGTTAATCAGTTTAATAATATTTATTCACAGTTCAACGTATGTACTACGTACATATGTATTATACAGAATTACAACCAGTCAAACAATAGATGTACCCTTAATCAGTCCGAAAATCTGCATTAACCGTGGTAAAATCCCGATAATTATTTTATGAATTCGACTGTCATAAATGTTAATAAATGGCTACTGAGTGCTAAGCAACATGTTAATATCACACCGATAAACTATGTTAAATTACTATTTTAGTATTCTTTAGGTATTTTTCGCATCGTTTTGAAATTGTTATTGAAATTTCATTGTAATTTAATCGGTTATTATTTTGTAAGTTTCCCACGACGTTTAACATGAAAAATAATTACTAAAATGATATTTTCAATCGAGGGCATAGCTGTGTAGGTAGAACTAATATCGTATTATGTATATTATTAAAAACTAATACATAAACGAACAATACAACTAAAAATTTTAATTTAATCATTGTGATTTTAATCGGCGTAAGTAATTTCACGTTGTATGAAAAGTATTTTCGTCCTAAATTTTACGATGAGAAAAAGTAGAACTATATTAATGTATTTTATAAACTAAATATTAAAACCTATCAATTATTATTTGGAAATAGTGTTCCGCGTTTTAACGTTTTGTATTTTCATGAAAACTAAAATTAGATTATATACACCTATACGTAAACACGTAAGGTTACACTTTAAACTGAGTAATGAATATTTAGATTAGTTTAGTGACAGGGATTTGACATGATTGATATCATAATGAATCGAAACGCTTACCGTTGGATAGATTTAGAAACAGTATGTCTTCTTTGTCTGCCGCGCTGGCGTATATATCATACCCGTGTGTGGTTCGAGATGGATAGAATGCTATGTCACTGATCATTAGAGTAGTTTTGACATCGAATGAAAATTTGAGTCCAGATTCTATGGTGTGCGCGATTGTTTATATAATGAAATAAAAATAAAAATTAATAATATTAGGTATATAGTATCTTAATTGTGTATACCAGGTGTACGGTTCGTTACAAAATAAAACGCACCTAAAACTTGTTGGACAACCAAGGTCACACCATCGAAGGCCTTGTCGATAGAAACGACGATTCTGCTGTCTGGCGAAACCAAAGGACTTCCTCTGATCGTAGTTTTTTTGTTGACCACCGTATCGGTCAAATAATCTAAGATTACCTGACCCGTAGCGTGTCCGGTTCCGGGTTCTTCGCATTCGATGATGACAAAACCGTCTGCACACAATAATCGCGTGGGTATGATGTAAATAATTGGTTAAACGATAATACGTCGGTGATATATTTTCGTGTACGATAAAATTTATATGTACACGTTTACGACCAGATAACATTAAGATATTAGTAAATTAAATCTATTATATACTTACACAAGGACGAAAATTGCAATGTGCGAGGTACGCAGTTGTATGGTGATAGGTCTATACTTCTTATGTATCGCATGTTAGCTAAATCCAGTTTGTAAAGTCCTCGTTGGTTAGCATGGCTTACGTAACCATACTTAAACCAGTGGCTCAGATCCTGTGAAATTTCAGGATATCGATAAAACTATCGCTGGTGTTGTATGTTGAATTCTATTATTAAAACATTGCTTACGCATACCTGTGCTGTGGGTATGAATAAATCTCTGACTAAATCAAATTGACCGTCTATTGGTTCTGGGTGGACGGTGTGGTGTTTTCGTTTTTGTGACGCGTCTCTGATCACTTGTATTGTCTTTACACCATCGTCATACACGCTCCTCCAATTCAATACCCACACTTGGTCTAAATGCGCTACGTAATGCAGAGCTACTGGATATTTGTCCGTGATCACGACCTAAATATTATAATGATAAACAAAAAAAAAAAAAAAAATACGAAATATTATTTTACTATTTATTCTATATAGTACATAGTAATAAACATTTTAATATAATTATTTTAACTACTATGAGTTTTTCAAAAGTTAGAATTTGATTATCTTACGCATATTTTCATTAGTAGGTATATTATAATATGTGTTTCTATTAAGAAATAATTTAATAATTAGATAATCGAAATCAGTAGCAAATTAATGTGTCCTATTAAGACTAACTATACATCAATAATTGATCATAAGGCGCATAAATATTAGGTAAATTAAAAAAAAAACAATAATACATTTTGCTTTTAGTAAAAATAAAAAAGTATTTTGTTTTTTATTCAAATGTTTTCTGTATAAGTATTTAGAAGTGTTGTTCTAAAATACTTTTTTCCGATTTACGAGTTATATGTAATACAATATATATTATATAAACACTTTAAATTATCGTAATAATTATAACTATCTCCACTCATTACAATGTATAAGCACAAATAAAAAGTATATTAAATATACTTAATAAGGTATAGTGCTGTAATAATATAGATACACTCACATCAACGACAACCATCTGAATTTTGCTGATGACCAATACTCTATCCTTAAGCGGCTGCGACACGTAAACATAACGGTTGGCCACATTGATAGCTTGGCCCCAGCTGCAGTTGACACCTTTGTCACCACACACGTATTCCTATAAATAATATACACGTATACGCATGTATGGTTAGGTAACGACAATTATATCGAGGTATGTCTTATAGACAATTTGCATAAGTGATGGTGATCGTTGTTCGATAAACACGATCCAATATTATGACATCAATAACTGTATCTGCCTAATATTGAAAATATATATTATGTACCTGAGTTCCCGGTATGATGTCTGTGGATTGAATTTGGTGGTAAAGCCGGCAAGCGGTGGGCTCGTAAACAGACACGCCCCAGTCGTGAAAAGCGAAAAACCGGCGTTCTTCTTTCGGCGCAGCTGTAAAAATGCAACGAGTATAATATTAATGTGGCGTATTATGATTATGACAGTTTTTTGTATTAGCACGAAATATTTGATATTTCATTTGATTTAGATTCGACCGCACCATACTCACTGGGCGTCAAAATTTCTTGGACGATAAGTGACGATATATCTCTGGTGACCCCACCGGTATTCGATGCCTGGCACATGTACGCTCCGGTGTCCGCGTAATCGATATTATCAATACTTAATTCAGTTCCATTGCCGACTACTCTGTACTTGTGCACCATGTCCAACTTTAAACGCTCTTCATTTTTCAGCCAAACCACCTTCAGGCACAATAATAATAATTTTAATCCATTACCCGAGTAAATTAACACTAGTTACACTTATAGATTTAGAAATGTAGAATTTCCTAGTTCAAATTCTATATTTACTAAGAATTTCTCAAAAAATAAATGTAATTAATAAGTTTGAGGTTTTCATTCTTCTGAACAAATATAGTGGCGTAAATTTATAACAAATTATTAAAATTTGTTCGCAGTTAGTATTGATTAAAATTCAAATTTTTTTCATAATAATTCATAAAAATAAATCTTCCTGCAGTTTTCAGTGCAGTTGAAAACTAGTTTAATTTTTGTAAAATTCTATATGAAATTACATTTCTAACTCCTAATTTTTGATTATTATAATTGTTTTTCTTACGAAAATTAAAAACTTAATCTATTATTATTTTATCAAATGTAATATATTTTTTATTAAATATATTTCAAACTATGGTTTGAAAAAATAGTTATTTTTAAAATATCAAATATTAAATTATATAAAAAAAAAAATAAATAATAACTACTATTGAAAAATAATCACACTTAAATTAATGTGTTTGCCACTTATTAACCTTAAACATGCTATATATATGTTGTGTGTAATGTATAAAATAAATGTATACCTCAGGGAAAGGTTCTCCGATTACATGGCAAAACATGGAAGTCTTTTCGCCTGGTCTCCGCGATTGGATTCTGGGCGTAACTTTAACTTCGGGTAAGGCTTAAATGCAACGAAAATCAAATTAAACAAAAGACACATACGAAAATTATTATTATTTTATTATTTATTGTATATTATTGAACATACTATGAACAGTCAACACGTGCGTCTGTGTAACCTCCGAGTTTCTCAAAGCTCTGCACGTGTAATTCCCAGCGTGTACTAATTGTATTTTGGTGAGATACAGCGATCCATCGCTAAAAACTCTCACGTCCTCGTCGCCTAAGGTCGTTAGATCAGCAGAATATCGTTTCCAAACGATCGGAGGAGGCGGATTACCGCTGACGTCGCAACGGATTTCGACATTGTCACCGACTTTTGCGGATATTCTATTGATCTCTAGCGCTTTTTCCAGAGTGACCACCGATAAGCCTATTATTATAATGTACATCGTAAAATATATACATAATAAATAATGGAAATAGAATGAACCTATTATGATATACCTATTTGCGTGATATATGCGAGATGCCAATAGAGTGCAGCCAATGCAAGACACCACAAGGTATAGATCAAAGCAATACTTAGGTATATATATTTATTATGTAGGACGTGGGATTTCGTACAGTGTGAGTAAATTAAATCTCTATATATCGTTATTTTACATCTTATATTTTAGAATTTACTTTGAACCATTAACGTTATGTACACCTATATACTTACTATATAGTTTACTGAAAGCTGCGTAGAACTCGTTCAAACCTAGACGTCCATCTTTATCCATGTCTTCAAAGCGAATCATATCTGACATGACACAAACGTCAGACATATCATCGAGCTTATCCTGTTTAGTTATCTGAAATAAATGGAATCAGTAAAACGTATAATTTTATATCAACTTAAAAATGTAATATATATATATATATATATACATTTTTTTTGTTTTTTGATTTATTTACATAATAATTTTATTACACGTGCGGTATTTGCATAAATTTGAAAAAATAATTTATATTTCTGTTGCTTGGATTAAAAAAGTTTTTGTTCGTAAAAAAAAAGTAAATAGAACTGAGCGCATTGTGTATTTTACGATTATTGCTATTAAACATTTTTAATTAAAATTATTGTTTGATCTTTAGCACTTATTATGTAAATATTTTAGTTTATTTAATTATTACGAAACAACACATATTATTTTTATAATATAGTTAACATTTAAAAAAATAAATAAATATAAGATATTTTTATATAATAAAATAATATGAGTGTAATATTATATTTAGAATTTATTTCACAATGGTTAAAACAATTTTCTTCATATTTATATTCTACACGATATTCATTATTCATGCATAATAAAATATATAAACAATGTTCTTATACGAGAACAAAAAAAAGTATTATTGCTTCAAAGAAAACGGATATCATTCTCAGAAAATTATATTCTAAATTTATCGATATATTTATTTGGTATATCCACAATAATCGACTTTTTAAATCTAAACTCGTACATATAATATTTCATCATATACGCATATACGTTATGCATAAAAAATTCTATTATATTGATATATATTTGATCAATAATGCAAGAAATCTATTTTGTAGTACATGTTTCAATATTTGTGAGAATATAAAACATTTTTAAAGAAAAATTTTAACGATAATGCCAGTATATTACCAAAAATAATTCGTTCAAACCAACCAAAATAATTTCGTTACTTTTTGTATGTATACGTATATAGTTACTCTAATATATTGTAAGTTCATTAAATAAGAACGAATTTACTTCAAAATTTAATGAATAAAAGGCTCTTTGTGTAATTATAAATACTATTGCACATTCTATTTATTTTATAGTTATAATTTTATTTAAAATATAAGTTTAGAAACCTATTTGGAGAATACTATAGTATAATATATTATGATGAGCAGCGGTATTACGCATTGGCATAAAAGTATTTCAATTTATAATATTTTGATATATAATTTTGAAGCAAATTACAGTGACATCGTATTATCTAAATAATGTTTTAACAAGCAGTCTATACTGTATTTATTTAATTAAAAAATAAAAAAATAATTAGAACTGACCAAATTAAATTTACCTTTTGTAATTCGTCCTGTTGTAAAAATCCGTTGCCGTCTAAATCCAAATAACGGAATAACGCACTGACCATATACTCTTTACCATTGTTCCAACTCTTTTGATACATGAGTTTAGCATGATTTATCAGCAACAAATTATCCTGCAAAAGATGATAATGCAATAAAATAAACGTAGTATTATTTTCATTATCCTCGTAGATGAATGAATTGTAATCATTGTATAGTCTGTAAGCTATACCTATACTGAGGAAACGCGAAAAAAAAAACACCTTTATTAAGGTAGGTGTTTTCATTTCGATGGTATTCTCTCGTTATTATCATAAGACGCGTCTTATTATCCACCATCCAACCCACGTTGCTGTCTGTATATGTTAGGCCACCCAAAGGCTGAGTCAGTTGTATATAGAAGGAAAGAGCTTTTTGTAAACAAAATTTATATGCGGCCAAAGAGGGATACACGTTCCCAGAAGTACAATAAATCCTGACCGCGAGCATTAATTCCTGTGGTTGCACCCTCTTTTAATTGAACAAGAAACATTTATTACCATTTTATGCGTTTTGCGTCGAAAAACCACGCCATCGGGTGCGAGTGCTAGAAAAAAACATATATTACCGGGTATATCATCAGGAGTGGTCTCTCGGTGGGCCACCAAGCGATACTGTTTGGGGTTTGTATTCGCATATAGGCTGCAATGTCTAATTGTTAAAGCTGACGCAACTTTTGCACGATAATATCGTGTGTTATTTATTATCATCGAAAGGATTGCGTGCGGGATGGAGTGGTGTGGTGTGTTGTGCGATTTAAATCGTATTTATGGTTTATAAAATAACCTACACAACCTCAAAAGTTTGTCATTCGTAAAACATATAAAAAATTATATAGCTATGTAGGAACGTGCTCAACTTATTGAACTTCCATTATGAAAATATAATATAGTATACATATTATTTATACATGATAAACGGGGGCGGCTTGTCACGGATGAGAGCCATCAAACCCACTACTCACTTTTAAAATAATAATTATTTGTATCGTTATTGTTTTATAGTGGTTGCGGCTTGGTAAATATTTATGATAATGGTAAAGTAAACACAAAGAAACCCGATAACCTCAAAGCTACAATACAAGCAGATCGAACAAAATAACAATCAGAACGCGAATATGATATTTTACGATATTTTATATTATTTGTAATATATTTGTCGTTATTCGCCGATTAAGTTATGCACATTTCTAAGGCGTACATTATTTTTCAAGTGAGTCGAAAATATTATTTACGAGTAGCTTTAAAGTATCATCACGGATCGTCAACCTTCAAATAAAATTAAAAAATAAATACCACCCGCGTGAATGTGCAGTAATTAGTGTAGATTAATATTGAATATTTATAAACAACAACGTATGCAGGTTTGATGAAAACAGAATTAAAAAAAAAAAAAAAAAATTAAACATAATTATTCCACTAATAAAGTATTCATACGAAAATAATTATTATTTCGTTTAACTTTATGTCATATTTAATGTGTATTTTTAGCTGAGTATCAAAATTAACATATTAAATCAAAAATGTTTTGTGCGTGTTCATCGATTTCAAACCATTAATAAAAATATTATCGCTCTATGAATTGAAGTAATAACATAGAGTAAATAGATTTCTATTAAACATTAACGAGATGACATTACATATTTGTACTATAATGTTATTTACGTATAATAATATATTGATGTAACTGTCTCATTGCGAACGCCATACTAACTGTAGATACATATTTACATTTAGCAGACTCTTTGTCTCCACTTATAATTTCGCCATTATGGTGAATCGATTAATATAATATTGAAAATATAAGAAAACTGCATCCGTTATATATATATAAATGCATCATAATATGTTTCTGTTTTTCAAAATGAATGAAATTTCTTTTTACTTTAAATTATTTAGTAGATATTTATTTTTGATAATGTTAATGTATTAAAAAAAAAATTTTAACTAGGTAGTAGTTTTTGAGTGATTAAAATGTATGCATATTTCTGTTAACAAAAATAGTTCTTAAAAATGGTTTTATAAAAATATAAAATAGATTTTATGCTTAAAATATTTGAATTATTTATTCAACTTAACTCAGTATAATATTATAATTATAATATAAAATATAAAAAATACGTGAGTTATTTGTGGTCTTCAAAATTATTAATTATAACTTAAAAATAAAAATTTCCATTTACAACTAGAAATAAATAATAATTAATTAAATACATAATATTATTTTATAATATACTAGCTGTTTTCATGCATTTTGTTATTTTTTTTTTTTGTTCATTCGTAAAAAAATGTCACCTCTTATATAGAACTTCAACTTATTTCATCATTAACTAATATATTTTGTTTCTTTTCCATCGTGTCGTATCGCTCACCCGCGTAATTACTTTGTTATCCCTTAGTGTTCGTTATAATTTTTTCAGTTTATTCAACTCCTAAGGGTCGTAGCGTAAAGGATCGTAAGGCTCCTAGTTAACCCGGCCAACGTTATTATTCCCAAATATCAACAAATACACGCATATAATTACAATTTCATATAAAAATTCTATTGAAAAAAAGCAATTTTTTCAATTATTCATTCCATTAATATCTTATTTGGTCTATTACAAACGTTTTCAACAAAAACAAGTCCAATTGGTTCATATGTTTTCAAGATAATAGTAGTGATAATAATTTCAAATAACATTTCAATGTAATACTTACACATAAACAACAAATAATTATTCAAAAATAATCATTATATATATTAATAGTAAGTATAATATTCATTATATTTAGACAATTTTTATAATGCCAATGAATTAATATCATTTTTAAATCATCATAGCCTCCATATTTTTGAACCCTATTATTACGAACCCCTAAATTAGAACGTAATTTTAAATAACTCAGAAAAAACTTGTTTGAATGTTGATGTATTATATCTATCGAAATTCTCGAAAATATTTTCTGTTGAATAGTTAAAGTGAAAACTCTTAAAATAAGATTTTGAATAACGGCATTAATTATAAAAAAAAAGTAACAGCGTCCTCTTGTCAGTAACGTGCGTTGTGTCACAATCAAAATGTTTGTAAGGCGTGGAGTCATATTATTTCTAATACGTAAAATCATTTCATGTATTCGATATCGGCGTATGAATGAAAAATAAATCGTTGTATTCATACACAAAATGTGCGGTGCGACGTTAGTTGCGAGAACAGAACAAACCGAATTCGCGTACGGATAAACATAATACGTTTTCCTTGGCCAAAAACTATGCTCGTGCACGTGGTACATGTACACAACTAAAATACGTTCGCTTTGTGTGTGTGAGGAACGACGACCGTTATCAATTTCGACGACAAATTCGTATTTTGCGTGTATATTATCACATCCGAATTATTTGCATGCGCGTATACGTTGATGGTAATAATAATATATTGTGCGCGAAACGAACGGGATGTTTGCCAAAATAACTCCTGTGTTTCACAGCCACCGACTACCTACCGCCGCACAATCACTCGGCCGCCGTAGCCGCAGGCTAACGCAATATTTTTCCCACGACACGAATACGATGACTGAACCTTGTTTCCTTCAATTTCGCATTCAAATCAGTCTTCGTGTAAAATAATGTAATCATACCTCTCGGAATACGAAGTTACGGGCCTCCCGCCAAGCACGGGGTGGCTGCGTTATGGTGGGTGTTTAGTCGGCGCGGGACAACACGCTTATAGCCCTACCCCATACCCGTTTGTAAGCATAAAAAAATAAAAACGTTCATGCTAAATAACGCAGCAGGAGTAGTCGATTAATTTTTATTGCAATTTATTGGATGTCGGTATTGTGTTTTAGTACTATATGACGTTATATTGCAATTAGGTTTCGGATTTAAATACTCTAAACGCTGTCAAAAAAAAAAAAAGAAAATGCTATTTTAACGCAATAGTTCCAATAAAAATGACCAAATTTTATTTTACAGGTGCGAAAATACACGAGTGGTGAGAAAACGAAGGTTTGACAATCGGCGTTTTTAATATTTCTATATTTTCCTTTTAACTAACAATAATATAAAAATAAAATACCAATATTAGGCATGGTGCATAATAAATAAACAGCATATTGAAAATGTATTCAAACTCCATGTATCTTTAAATTATCAACTTATTGTTATTTGTTTAAGTACAGGTTATAAACCACATCCAATAATTGATGAAGATAAGTAAACACATTATAGAATACATTTACATAGAACCATTTACATTTGATATGGATAAAAACTACTAAAGCAAATATTATGAAAATAATATTTTTTGATAGAATTTTTTTAAATTTTACAGTTTATGCACTAAATATTATTAAAATTACCTGTAAATATTCAAAAATGCTTAAAAAGTACAAAATAAAAGTTTTTGAAATATCTGTTACATGAAACGAATTTTATTTGGAATACATTATCAACATAAAGCACCTTAAAATTAATATACTTTGCATTGTAATCCGGACCGTAATTATAATAATATTACCTGCATACTTGATATACTGCTATACCTACTATATAATATATACGTAATTCGATTATAGACTCGTTATGGAATAGATTATTAACTATACAACAGTACATAATTACTATGCTATTCTCCGAGCATTATTTAAGATCCGCTAATTCGCTATCATCTACTATTAAACATTTTATTGCAATTGTGAGTGATATATTGGCATATTTCTGCCTCGCATCGAATTTGTTTACAAATAATATTAGCTGCACACTGGCGTACCGAAATTGCCTATACACCATGCCGAATAACGAACCGTTATTAAAAAAAAAAAATAGTAGTATTAGTTATCTAAAACAACTATTGTAATAGTTTTACGCTTTTGCATGTATTTTACACTGAAAAATAAAAGCCATCGATGAATTTTTAGATTATTTAATTTATATTTTTAATTGAGATTATAAATTATAAAGGTAATATTAATAAAATTATATGCATTATTTGTTGCAAAAAAAAAAATAAAATGAAGAATAGAATGAAAACAGTTTTAAAATTGAAACCATCGATGAGTTTTTTTTTTACAGTGTATTAATTAAAACTTATTTATTTTGAATTTTAGTTTAAGTACCGCTTCACCCGATAGCTCTAAAATAAGATACACTCCACATATTTCGTAATTATTACAATTATTATGACAGCAATACCTTCATAATTTCGTATTGTGGAGAACCGCAAGTTTTCGTTTCTTTCGATTTGGTTTCCAATTCAATGGCGTTGTCTGCGGCTTTCGGTAAAATTCGAACATTCTTTGCTTTGGACGCTGTAAAAATATCACAAAACATCATTATTTTCAATCTTGGTATTTATAATATATGACATTATACACTTTTATAAAATATATATTTTCTTACACAATAATTGACCGATGACATTGTAAAATAAATTCCATAGATATAGTATTAAATATTAAATATAGAGACCAATTTTTCTCGTAAATATTTTATATATATAAGGTTCGTTAATCGATATAAAATTTGAGTTATAGCTGATTCAAAAAATTGTATATTGTATAGTCTTACAATAAAATTAGCTGTGTATGTGATCAGATTTAAAATGATTTATTTGCTCGTCATTTCTACTGGTTTCATAATTGATTTATCGTAAATAACATAACGTAATTACATCGCATACATACGTAATACATACAACACACATAATATTATATATATACACACGAAGTGATTTATGTTAAACATTTTTTTTTTTACTGGCTGCACTAATTTTCTAATTCATTTTTTATGATTTTTAAAATTAATAGATTTTCTTTTTATAAATACTCCAAATAATTAAAAAAAAACTTTTTTTTTTATCTACAATAATTTATTTTTATAAACTTTTATACCTCATTAACAAAATATTCTATAGTTATTCGATAATTAATACATTAAAATAAATATACATTCACCGCATTTTTTAATACCTTCATAGATCAATATAATATTACGATAATTAAATTTCATGTAATTCATAAAAATAAAGCTTAACACAATTACTCACGAATAACGATTAAATTTTTAACGTTAATAATTGCACTAATTAGATTTTTTCATACGTGTAAATCGTATTTATTATAACATCATACAGTACCCAAATTATCGTATATAACTTAATATATAATAACAATATAGTACTGACAAATTCAACGAACATGTGTATTTATTGATATTTTACAAATTTCAAGTAGTAGTGAGTTTATGTAATCTTTATAAACATTAATTAGAAGTCAGTTGTATAAGACATAGAGTGTTATTTACCAATACTGACTACAAAGATACTGCAATTTAATATATTAAATGTAATGTATATATAAAATGTAATATAAGCCACTTGTAAAGCTATTATAAGGATAAATAATTAACGGTCTCTTACGGACACTGACTCACCTGAAGGTATGAAACACTTTAACGAATGGTCTATCTCTATGTTGACCCCGGACAAACAGCCAGACTTGTGCAGCTCACATCGGTTGTCGTACAGCCGGCCGTCTGTTCCGCACACCCTGCGCTTAGCTGGACCACATTTCCGCACGCATATGCACCGTGCAACACCGCCCAAGGCAGCACACTCTTCGCCCCTTCCACAGTAGTGCACGAGACATGGGTCTGAAATACGAAATCAAAAAGCCATTGTTGTAAAATATAATACACATATAATATATATTATAGGCTATTACACGTACAGTATGTACGAGGAAATATTATGTCAGACGTGGTTGCAGGATAAAAATATATTTGCACATCGAAGATATAATATATTCTAACATAGATATATGGTTTGTTTCTCACGTATTATGCAATTTGACGGTAGACAGGAAAATGCAAAATCGAACAGATGTTACATTATTTATAATTATAAGAGATTAATAATTATTATATATAATACGTGAATTCGGTTTAAGGCATATTGCGGGGCCATCGATCTCCTCGCTTCAAGTATAAAAAAAAATATCGTAGTTAATATAATTTTCCCGCCAGATAACTATACTCATGTTTTCGATAATATTGATATTATATTATTATATTAATATTCATATTTATTTTAATATTGTAAGATTATATCTTGTATCTGCATCGTATTGTTAATAAAAATATTAATTTATCATTTAAACATTAATTTTTGTGAAATAAACATTTTTATATGACTATTATTTTTTTGAAATTAATTAGAAAATCTGCACAGTAATAATATGTTTAAGATCTCTTAAATTTTGATTTATAAAACTATTATACTAATTAAACTATTTATAAATATGAATATGTATAAATATTTATATAAACTGTAGCCTGAAGATTGTTTATTAACTGAATTACATTATATTTTAAGTTTACTGGTAGACGAAATTCAAAATTGCTCTGTTCGTGCATCCTTGTGCAAATTAAGTCGTACGCTATAACAATTGTTGTATTTTAATTAAAGTTATGACAATAAGATTGAGATTTGAGATTCTTACAATAAAAAATATAAAATAAAAATACTAACAATTGATAATGATATCTTTTTTTAGCATTAACAATAATTTGAATTGATTTGAATAAATCTGAATTAATTGAAATCGGGGTATAAAAACTATAAAAACTTAACAAAGTTTATATAGTTTTAAAATATTAGTTAGTATTTATTTTTGAACTAGTTATTCATTGTTATTACTTTAAGTTTTGCTTATATTAACTGATAGGCTATTTCTTATAGTATCAATGCATTTAATTAAAACTTCAAAATAATTTTAAGCATATTATTAAGTTTTATGTTCTCCATAATATGAAGTTAATACATAATATATGCACAGAAACAAAATAATATTTAAAAACCACTTAGTATTTGAATTGCGATATAATTAAATTCTTTTTTAATAGGTTATGTCAGCAGATTACTTATTCTTCAAAAAAAAATTTTTTTTTTTGATTCTTATTTGTTGGAGTTTGAAATTAACTTTTAAATTGTCTAATGACGTATATGAACTTAAAACAGATATCTGTTTTAGACAAATTTAATTTCAAAACTTTAAAGTAGACACAGCTGGTTAGATTAATAAATGAAATAATTTCTTCCGCGTACATTTTTTCAAAAATTATTATAACGTAATAACTATACGTCATAAACCAAAATATTATGCCGTATGAATAAGGTATTACACTATCTACATTATAATATATACTATATAATTTTAGGTAACTTTATGTATGGCTTTGTTTTATATTGCTATATATATGGGTCATAAACGATTGCCACTGTTAAGAACTTGTTGAAAATCAAGAACTGTAATCGTTATATTCACAGTGAGCGTTCTTTAAAACGAAGATCGTAAAATGTGTATACACATAGTAATGTATAAAGTGGTAGAAATTACAAATACATTTATCAGATTAGTTTTTTGGTCATGCACAATGAAAAACGTGACCTTTTCACGTTTCTCAGGGGATAATATATTTTGTTTATCTTATAATAATTCAATGTAATATAGTGTATACACAAAATGTTCTATATAGAAGATGAAGAAATTTCGTTTTCAGATAATGACCCCCTTTCGAAATTTGGTTACAGTGTGTTCTACGATTCAACGGGGGTTGGTTTCAGGAACAATGTCGTTTAAGTATAAATGTATATTTTATTACAGCGAAACTAAATTCTACACGTTCTTTCGAAACGTACAATTTCATTATCTCGATTCTAAGTTACGGTCTTAGTAGATGACGTGGTGCGAAGTAGATATATATGAACTACTACCTTTACATCATCGTATAAGCCACGTAGGGCGGCAATAATACGTATAATTTGACATAACATCGTATGCTCGTGAAGTTGTGTCAGCCTTATACAATTATCCAATCGATTCAAAAATTTGTGTTAATATCTTACAAATTGTAATAAAAAATAAAAAGTTATAAAAAGTAATAATTGTTAGATAGTATTTAGATTTTGAAATTAATGTCATTAAAATATTTTAAGTAGGGTTAAGATGTTTGTGATTAAACAAATATTTTTTTTAGTCTTGCACAATGAAGATCAAAATATACATCAAATTTATATAATGTAGAAACTGTTTTATTATATTTAATTTTGCATATTTTTGAATTTTCAGAAATAAATAAATTTTTAACAACTTTTTTTCTGTAATGTTATTCTTTGTAAAAATTTATTAATTATGTATAAGATATAAGTAAAAATTTGAAGTATAAAAAATAAATTAATATTATTATTATAAAACAAAAACTAATTATATTATTAAAAATTAAAAGTAATTAAATTATTATTTATTTTTAGTTATCAATCAACATGCATTATATATTTTGAATAAATAATAAATAATGTCAACAACTTTTTAACGCTTTTTATAATGACATTAACACAATCAAAAGTTTGTATTTACGTATTTGCATGCAATTTTTAAAGTTTTAACATTATGAACATTATATCTTTAAATATGCATAAAAACTATTTTGAAAGGTCATGTTGAAACAGTTAACCCTCATTTGTCAAATGTATAAAAAAAGCAATAATTTTTTGAATATATCGGATAAAGGAAGAAGTTCCACTTCACATACATAATTTAAGCAGTTTACGAGTAATATAAGTAATATATCGCACGATACACATTCTACAATAATTGTCGCTAAGCGTAAAGTCGTTTTATAAAAATCATCTTAATTATGTCACGCTACAATAATCATTAATATCACTTTTTTCGAACTGATTGGTTTGAAAATTTTACTGTCTTGGTACATACCATATAGTTTTTGATTTGTGAAATACGTATAACTATTGAACATTGAACTTGAACTGTATAGTTAAATACACTGCTGAATTAAAGCGATTACCTTTTTGTTTGGTTTTCATTCCCTTACCTATATTTTTAGATCACTTAGATTTATTTTCAACTAACGCCTTGACTGACTTATAAACAAGCCAAATTGAGTACGGATTCATATGTAATAATATACGTATCTATTAAAAATTTTAAAATTAATTGGCGATACATTTAATGCAGTGAATATATCACCAGATTTATCAAATCATATCTGGGTTGTTAAATGGCAATAAATATACACAATAAAGAATTTCAGGTTATTTTCTCCTCTTAAATATCTCTAACATCATTAATGGTGAAAAAGGATTTGAAAATGGGTTTTTTTATTCTAAAAAAAAAAAAAAGGTCCCTTCAAATGAATTAATGTTATTGATCGTAATATTTTTTTTTTTTTATGAGTACGTTGTATAAATATTTTTCATCTTTTGAATACAAGAACGTATACAAATAATAATAATATGCATTCAATAACTCATAATTATAATAATAAAAAAATAAATGGAAACTAACGAAGGGTTATATTATTATTGTTCAGTTATGCATTGTACGTCCTATAACATACATTATACGAGTACATATAATACGTCGATACGAATAATACGATGCTATTAGAATTGACATTATAGTGTGAATATTATGACAGACTTTTCATGAACCGAGTGAAGTTTTTTATCATTTTAAATTTAAAAGAGGGTTTTCGAGTCGTTATTATCATCTTCATTGACAATACTACAGTGAATCTAAAAAAACCAACATAATATATAATTAAATGAATTCATAATTATTATTAACGAATCGTAAATAATGTATAGTAATAATATTTTCAATGTACCCAAATAATACACAACCATATAAAGTGTAACATACACAACTCACTACATAATAACTTAAATAGTAATTAATTTCAAACATTTTTTTTTTAAATTTACTACCAAGAATAATCACAACGATATTAAAATTAAATAACTTTATTAGAATAAAAGTTATTAATAATAATACATAGTTAGTTCATTACACGTTTTTTTTTACCAACTGTTTATAATTATTACGGGTATTGTCAGGAAAGGTTTGATTTAATGAGCCTTTTTGTCTCTCTATTCTGTCCTCTAAATTCAATTAATCATGTACAATAAATGATTATAATTCATATTTCATGTAAAAAATAATTAATGTTCTATATTGAAATATTATATGATTGTTTTCAAAGTCGTTATCAATCTTTTTTTTTTTTTTATTAATATCTCCCCTACCTCTCTTCCACATGTTACGGATTCAAAAAAAATATTATTACTCGGTAGTGCAGATGCTCGAACGAATAAGTACGCTTATAACGTTATTTGTAATAACTTATTACAAATCAAAATCGGTGGAAAAAAATATAAACAACAACCGCATGAAAAACGGTTTATCCCTCAGAAAAAATATAAACGATTTGAGCCCCTAACTCTCCCAACACATGTTTTTGCGGGACAGCTCACAGCCATACATAAATGCACGTCGTGTATAATAATATATTTATATTTACCAAAGCGTGCACGAGGAGCTGGTACGAGAGAAACGTTACCGATAACTGTATTTATCCAATTCGATCAGCCAGTTCTCCTTCTTCCACTCATCTCCGAGAGGGGTGACGTGGCCCCAAAACGTCATTTTGCTGGCCGACGCGTAGTTTTAACGAAATAGCGTACCAAATGCGTGTTCTTGTCGTATTGTGTGTATCGATTACCGTATACATCAATATAACCTCTCAACCCCATCCTCCATTAGCTTAATTTAACCCGTACCTATGTATAACCG